AAAAAAAAAAAAAAAAAGAATAGTTAGACGTAGGTGTGAATTAAGTTTTAATAACGTCATAGAAAGTCTATTGTACCATGGATTTAGTTTTGGTAATGATTGCAAGTGATGACAAGTGATGATTATATGGGACCAGTGGGTTGTAACGTTCTTGCTCAAAGGAAAGGACATTGTAATTGTCTTTTCTGGGAATAAACTGTAATGCTATTTTTCTTAAAATATATGTCACTTACAAAGAAATAGTATGATATTGTTCAATGATTATGATTATGTAGCCTTTAAGAAAAAGTATAAAAAGTGTATACATGCTTCAATAAAGTGTCAGCATTCAGCAGATCCTTTGAGTCTGCGTGTTTGCTGTCCATCCCTCGCCGACGCTGCCCTTCCTCCCTTTTGGGGGATCCCTTACCAGTGGGGACCTTTACAATCTCTGTGCTGGGGCTGGTCCCCGGCACCGACCACCCAGCCTTAACCACTATTCTATGTCTGTAAATTTCCCTATCTGAACTTTCATATAAATGGAATCATACAGGATGTGATATTTTGTGAGTGGTTCCTTTCATTTGGCATTATTTTGTTTTTGTTTTAAAAGATGACCAGTAAGGGGATCTTAACCCATGACTTGGTGTTGTCAGCACCACGCTCTCCCAGGTGAGCTAACCGGCCATCCCTATATGGGATCCGAACCCGTGGCCTTGGTGTTATCAGCACCGCACTCTCCCGAGTGAGCCACGGGCCGGCCCTCTGTTTTACCATTTTGAGTGAAGTGTGGAAACTCTATTTCCATTTTAGTCCCTTTACCTTCTCTACTTGTAAATAGTGTCTTGAGTATCAGGCAGTTTTATAATTTGTTTCAATCATCAGATATGCTCATATGCTCCAGAAAACTCATGAGGAGAAGGATTGCCTGTTGTGTTTATCCATATTCCTGCTTTTTCCATTGTTCTTTCTTCCTTATGCTTCAATATTCATTCTTTTGTCATTTCCTTTCTGTTTGAAGAACTTCTACTTCTACTATTCTATAGGTGTAGGTCCGCTAGTGACTGATTCCTTTAGTTTTCCTTTATCTGAGAATCTTTATTTCTCCTTCATCCTTTTTTGGGGGAGGGGCAGCTGGCTGGTACAGGGATCTGAACGCTGGACCTTGGTGTTATAACACCACACTCTAACCAACTGAGCTCACTGGTCAGCCCCGTACTTCTCCTTTATTCTCAAGTGATAGCTTCTGTGGGATGCCATTGCCAGTGCCCCCACCCTGGAGGAGGCTCTGGGTGGGGTGAGGGAGTCTCAGCCTCAGTAGAGACAGTGTGCCTCCCATCAGTCCCCCTTACCAATTCTGCCAGGCTCGGCTGGTGTTGTCAGGACTTCAGTTCTATATGTGGATGAACAAGACCACCTGGTCCTCCTGTTGGCAGGATGCAGATCAAGAAATGCCAGGCCTGGGTCTCCTTCCTCTGTTGGGTGGGGAGGTCATAAGATGCTCTGCTGCTGTGCTGTTCATCCAGCCCAGGGGTCCCTCACCAGCTCCCCTTTTCACCCTTAAGAGTTCTATTTTAGTTTTCTCTTATTTCCTGGATTTATAGGTGTACTTAGCAGGAGCAGAGAGACAAGCCCATGCCGTCTTGTTCAGACTGGAAGCCCCTCAGGCCCTACTAAAGGACTTTTGGTTTCTGAAAAGTCAGTGGTGTGGAGAAAATGGTAGGCAGCTGTCAGAGCAGTGGGGTTAGAAGGATTCAGTTAAGACAATGGGAGAAGGCTCACAGGAGGGGACAACTTAGAAATGCTTGGGCGGTGAAGTTGAAGGTCTGTAAGCGGAGGTGGTGAAGGGCAGGAGGAAGAGAGGATCCACAACTAGACGGATGGGCTTCTGGCAACTGAGAGGGATGCAGGGTCTGGCACTTCTGCAGGAGGATTCTGGGCTTAGGTTTGGGCGTGGTGGGTCTGCTGCCCGGAGTCCAGTGGGGAGAGATGCCCAGCAGACAGCCAGGTATGTGGCACTGGGCCTTGAGGCAGGTCTGGGGGAGTCGGAGGGCAGCCCCTGGCTTCATGAACTAGCTGGTAAAACCAGCAGAAGACTGAGGACTTCGGAAGCTCCCTCCCTTCCCATGACAATGGCTGCTCTGATTCCCCCCACCCACCTCAGGGGTGATGACAATGTCTCATTCATCCCTCTCCTGGTGCCTGGAACGGGGAGTGGAAGGGAGGGGAGACGAGAAGGGGAGCGGAGCGGGCTAAATGAATCTGGGTGGTGCAGCCGGCCTGTGTGGAAGCAAGAGCGCATTTCAGGAAAGCCAAGGGGCGGGCTTCTTCTTGGGAGGTGTGACAGAGGTGGCTGCCAGGAATGGAGGGAGGCGCGTTTCTTCCCTTTTCCTTCCACTGCTTAGAGAACTGAGGGGTGGGGTGCAGACGATCGAGTTGCGGAGAGCCTCGGATACCCAGCCTGCCCGGGAACTCGTCTGAGGCGGCCTTGCCTGCTGAGCCCCAGCCGGCTCTATCTCTGGTTGCCATAGTGACAGGAGGCGGTTACCATGGAGACCGACGACTGCGAGGACCAACCAATCACTCTGGAGCTGCGGCTCCAGCTCACCTTTCGGATGGAGACATCGAGCAGGGCGGGGCCCCCTCCCTTTCCTGGGTTCCCCACGCCCTCTGCCTGGTCAGCAGGAGGAGGGGAGTGCGTGCGCCCCAGGCCCCCGCACCCCGGGTTCTCTTCCCAGCTAAGGGGTGACGCCACCTTGGTGTGGGGGCCAGCCTCCAATAGGCCCTAACCCCTCCCTCGTAAGTGGGCATGCTGCGGGAAAGGTGGGGCCTGGCGCAGTCGCCCCCGCCCCCTCGGACCCGCGCACGGCCTGGTGGGGCGCGGTGGGGCGGGGGACCCCGTCGCTG